GCGCCTAGGGTTGGGGGGAACCCTAGAGGGGGCGCCGCCTTGCTTGGGGGGCAAGCCCCCCCACCCTTGGCCGCCGCCCCCCTAGTAGATTCCATCTACTAGGGCCGGCGCCCCCCCCCCCTTGGCACCCCTATATATAGTGAGGGAGAGGATGGACTTTAGACACCAGCCCCTGGCGCCTCCCTCTCTCCCTGTTACGTCTCCCTCTTGTAGCATAGGCGAAGCCCTGCTACTGTGACGCCCTGCATCCACCACCACGCCGTCGTGCTGCTCGATCTTCACCAACCTCTCCTTCCCCCTTGCTGGATCAAGAAGGAGGAGACGTCTCCCGTCCCGTACGTGTGTTGAACGCGGAGGTGCCGTCCGTTCGGCGCTGGTCATCGGTGATTTGGATCACGTTGAGTACGCCTTCCTCATCCCCGTTCTTTGAACGCTTCCGCGCGTGATCTACAAAGGTATGTAGATGCAATCCGATCACTCGTTGCTAGATGAACTCCTAGATGGATCTTGGTGAAACGAGTAGGAATTTTTTTGTTTTCTGCATCCTTCCCCAACATATCCAACCCAGCACCAACTCACTTCACAAGCACTTGTTGATATATCTAGCATATCAATCTTATTAAACCTTGTTGATGTTTATGACTTTGTTCATGTTCATGAGTGTGATGAAATTTTGCAAAAAAAATTCAAAATTCCGTTCATATTACATATCATATTTTGAAAAAAAATCGAAACTAATTTTTTTTCTGTTGCTAGTGGCGCACCTAGCATACGGTGCGCCACTAGTAAGTTTGAAATTTTTTGAATTTTTTTGGCTCCAGATCTTAAAAGCCCCGTAACTTTTTTTCTGTCAGGTTTTCAGGATTTTGAAAATGTTTAACGGGGTTTCATATTTGAAACTAACTCGGATGTAACTTTTTGAGTAGATGATTTTTCATATAGAAAACTTTTTAATCCGAGTTCGTACGCAAAAGTTATGCCTATTTTACAAATTCCAGAGAGATTTTGCAAATAAAGTCGAAACTCATATTTGTAAATTTTTTCAACAACTAGACCACATATCACATGGGAAACTTATTTTCTTTTATTTTTTGACATTTTCATCATTTTCTTTTTTTTAAACTGAAAAGGCGGTCCAGGGGGGGTGCATGCGAGGGAATTTTTGGGCTAAGTTAGTAATGGCGCACCGTGGGAGTGGTGCGCCATTACTAGTTCGTAATGGCGCACCACTCCCACGGTGCGCCATTAATAGTTTTCAATAAATATAAAAAAATTGAAAAAAAATACTAATGGCGCACCGTGGATGTGGTGCGCCATTACTAGTTAATAATGGCGCATTATCCGCTGGTGCACCATTACTAGTTTTGAAACAAAAAATTGAAAAAAAAAATTGAATTTTTTTAGTAATGGGGCACCGTGGATGTGGTGCGCCATTACTAGTTTAACTAGTAATGGCGCACTATCCACTGGTGCGACATTACTAGTTTTGAAAAAAAAATCTTGTTACTAATGGCGCACCAACACATGATGCGCCATTAGTATATAGTAGTGGCGCACCACATGTCTGGTGCGCCATTAGTGTCAATTCCATCTATAGCCATTTTCCTAATAGTGCCTCGTGAGCTCCTCCCTTGGCTCCTGACGTGGGGTCCAAATTCATCCGGTAGATTTCCTTTCAAAAATGACTTCTCCACTTGATTTCGTTCCGTTTCGACTCCGTTTGATATTCTTTTTTTTTCAAAACACTGAAATAGGCAAAAAAATAGCAAATCTGGGCTGGGCCTCCGGTTAATAGGTTAGTCCCAAAAATAATATAAAAATGGATAATAAAACCCAATATTACCCAAAACAGTAGATACCATAACATGGAGCAATTAAAATTTATAAATACGTTGAAAACGTATCAAGCATCTCCAAGCTTAATCCTACTCGTTCTCGAGTAGGTAATGATAAAAACAGAATTTTTGATGCGGAGTGCTACTTGGCATAATTTCAATGTAATTCTTCTTAATTGTGGCATGCATATTCAGATCCAAAAGATTCAAGACAAAAGTTGGGCCTTGATATAAAAATGATAATACTTTAAGCATACTAACTAAGCAATTATGTCTTCTCAAAATAACATGGCCAAAGAAAGTTATCCTTACACTCAGCCGTTGTAGCGCCCCCAAAGATGGCGCCGCCAGCCGAGCGGACTCCTCTTATCCTGTGATGCGAATCGGTGTACCTTCTTCTGCTTATTAGAAACAAAAAAATGTGTTTTTATTTTTTTCCTTCCGCGAGAGGCATGGCCGTGCCTATCAGAAACAAAAAAAATGTGTTTTCATTTTTTCCTTCCGCGAGAGGCATGAATTTGCTTCCATGAAAAGAACGGCCGTGGCTCTCGGAAATGAAAGATAGGCATTTTTTTTCTTTCGCTAGAGGCACGGTTTTGCTTCCGCGAGAGCCACGGCCGTGCCAGTCGAAAACAAAAAACGTGTTTCCTTTTTTTCCTTCTGCAAGAGGAACGGTTTTTTTCCCCAAGTTTTTTTGTTCGGTTTTTTTCATGAAAAATGTTCGTCAAAACCTATTAACATGGGTTCTAGTTTTAAAGATCTCGACGCGAGGTATCCAATGGTGAAAACGGTTCGATATTTGGATGCATGATTTTAGAAATAATACATTCTGAATAAATAGATCTATGACAAAAAAAATCCTTGCTTGCGACGAGTAACACACATGCGCCGCTTGTTCCAACCTGAAAAGGGCAGAGTGACCTTTAAAAGGAGTACTCTTTAGTGAGTTCGCATCTCAACGTGTTGATCAAATGGCCAATTAGGCCATGGCTGGCTGGCCGGCCCGTTAGGACGCGTGCCCATCACGTGGTAGGCCAGCCTGGACGTCATTAATCAGGTCGTGCCTAGCATGTGGCCCACCTAGGGCCGTGCCTGGGTCTGAAGGTTGGGCACGTGTGACATCACGACACGGCCCATTTAGTTTTTATAGGTCAATTGGCAGCCAATAAGCTAAATATTAGGTGGGTTGACGGGCTAAACTTACCAATGGGCCGGCCCGTTTGATTTTAGTGGCGTGCCGGGGCTGCAGGCTGGGCATACGGGCTAGCAAGGCACGACCTGTGTACTAGACGCTTCCTCACGGGCCATGCCAGCCCACTGTCAAGGTCCCGTCTCTTCCTCAAAAATTATTAAATAGGAGGCATAGGAGGCCCCGTTGTCGAGGCAAATCCTAAACGGCGCTCTAAGAGCATCTCTAGCAGACCCCACATAACTTTGACCTGCAAAACGCGTTTGCAGTTCGCGGAAAAACGGCTCTGCGGGCCAGCGCGGATGGTCGTAGAGGCAGACCCCGCAAAATGGACCTGTATAAAAGGATATTTGTGGAATATGCTCTTTTACGGGTCGTCTCAGCAGGGTCTGGTCTGGCACCGCTCCCGCCGGCCCGCAAATCCAAAATTTGCACCTCAATTTGACACAAGATAATGCATTACTTTGCTTTTTCAACAGCATTGGATACATAGGACATTACCAAATCTTTGCTAGAATAGTAAGACCAAAGAAAATAAGAATCACAATTATGCATTTTAGAAGATTTCCAACTTCCATAACTGCTCCCACTAGTTGGACCAATATCTTCTCCATGCATTCATTGTTGATCTGTGGATTCTTGATTTTGCATTCTTCATTCTTCTTCTCTAGTTCTAAAAAATTTGATGAATGTTTTTCAAATTCAATGAACTTTTCTCAAATTCAATGTATTTTTTAATTCAATGAACATTTTAAAAAAAGGATGAACTTTTTCCAAATTTGCTGAACTTCTTTCAAATCGATGAACTTTTCTTTCAAATTCTATGAAATTTTTTGAAAATCGATGAATTTTTTCTTCACTTAACGAACTTTTATTAAACATCAATGAACTATCTTTTAAAAATCGTAAACTTTATTCAAAATTTGATGAAGTCTTTTTATAAAAAAATCAACTTTTCCAAATTGTGTTCAAATAATTCGCATATCTAGTAAATAGCGCTGATACATTAGTTCTTAAATATTTTCGCGTTCCTTGCAGTCACTAGTGCTTGCCGGTTGTAGTGGTTACGCAAACAGTTCTTGTGTTCTTGCCGGTTGTAGAGATTTCATAACTGATTTAAGTACGATGAGTTCCCATTTTTTTCTGACTTCAAGCTTAAACCTTCGATCAATGTATGAAGCATTTTCTGATTTCTGTAGGAATCTGTGTAGCACATCAAGCTATAATTAGGATTAGAGACACGAGCCACATTCCTGAACATAACTTGCAGAACGTCCTTTTTTCTCCTTCTAATGTCACTGTACCTTACTACAATGGCAATGAACATTAGACGAGAGCTATTCCATTAATTAGTAGCAAGATCGGACAGAGAGGACAAGCCGTGCATTCTTTTAGCTTTATCTTCAAATCCTACGGCTAGCCGGCTACAAGCAACGAATTGATTTCCATCTTTAGCAAAAGCAAAAGACAATCCTCTCAAGAAAAGAGAAAGATGAAAGTTAAAGGTAAAGGTAAACATAGTACTACTTTGCTTTTATTCTGTCTAAGGTATTTGTGAGCACCAGACAAGTGCAAAGCACCGCAAATATTTCGTTGCAGCGATGCATCATTTCCTCTTTTGCTCTCCGATCTGGTTCTGGTTATCCCGTACTGTCATCTGGACTATCTACTTGGCTTCTATCTAGCTAGCTGCATACTATCCACACAGTAGCAGTTGTTCAAGGTAACAAAAGGCACGTAACTATCTCACCTCACGCCTCTTCCAAATCTTCCTGCCCGTATCTAGACTTATTTATGTAAGCTAGCTTCATTTATTGTTCCTGCTTATGAATTCTCATTGTATACAGGAACCTGTAAACAACCGTTCGAGAAACAAATCTGGAGAGTGGAGATTGTTAATGAGCTTACTGATCAATGATAACTGCTGAATGGAATTAATCTAGTGGCTTGATTTTGCAAAATCCTACCAATTAATTATGCGCACGGAGGTATGTTTACACTTTCCATTCACCTTTCATTCCATTCTGCTTGTTATCGTCTTTATTCCACTTATTATTAAGCCTAGTTTTTCATGAAATTTCTGGCTTCTTATTTCCTCTTCTTTGCATCAATTGGGGTAAATTATTGGCTCAGATTTTGTACGTCAGGTTTGTCATTAGTTAATCGCATATCCATGTGTCTCCATGCCTAAGTTATCAATGGGACTGAGAATATTACTTACATGTAATCGCATCATCCATTAGATTTACATTACAAGTAATATTACTTACCATTCTCAGTCATGATTGAGAATATTTCCAGTAACAGTGCCGACTTGCATGCTCAAATAAGGAAGACAAAATGTATATTAAGCTCGTTTGAACTGGCGGTCCTTACAGCTGCATATATCATATGCATGCAGGTTATCAAGGCAGACACCATTGATGTGGCCGTTGAAGGAATTCTCAATGAACTCAATAAAAGTAGACAGAACATCATCTACTTCGATGGCTGGGAAGGACTGGGGGCATCTGCCGTCCTGCAAGTCATAGCTCGGCGCTTGGAATTAAAGGAACCGACTAGGCCTCCTGGACTGGATTTTGAGCAAGTCATCCACATCGACTGCTCAAAGTGGGAGAGCACAAGAGCACTCCAGAGAGAAATCGCAGAGCAGCTGAAGCTTTCCAATTGGGTGATGAAGATGTTTGACAAGCAGGATGAGGAGGATGATTTCAATGGGACTACTGATCAAGGCTCTCGCACTGAGATAGCAGATGTTGCGGCAGAGATCCAGAGGAGCATGCAGGGCCGCAGGTTTTTGTTGGTTTTTCACAATGGAAGCAATGAGGAGATTGACATATCCAGAATTGGTCTTTCGGTATACCCCTATTTGACCAACAAGGTGATATGGACCTTCCAAGGGAGGTTTAGGATGGACCCCAAGATGAAAGACAAGGTCATGAAGAACACAACAGATGTTCTTCTCTCAGCTTCATGCTATAAGAAAGATCGAGAAGAGCTCTGGTCCTATCTACTACATCAAGAGGCTACACAAGTTGCTTGCAAGCATGACATCAGTCCTGCAATAGTTGTCGAGTGTTTCTTGTATTTGTTGGGACTAAATTGCATCCGCGGCCATCTTGTGGACACTGAGTATGATTTGGCTATACATACTTGCAACTATTGGATATGTGATCGTATCATACAGAAAATCCCAGATAGTGGTGAAGAAGCATGGCAAGTTGGTCAGACACTCCAGGGTGAGATCCGACTGGGTATGTGTTACCAGCAGAATGATTTGACCCCTCACTTGGTAATGCATACTGAGAAAAGGCCACACTGGACTTCACCAGCTTATGGATATGTACTGGTTCCGGCTGGAGTTGTCCCTAGTAGAATGTTTCAACATATTGACAAGCTTGGCGTGATATCAAGGTGTAGCTTCAGCTTTTCATGGCCCCCGTTTATGTGGTGCCACGGCCTTAGATTTCTATGGCTTGACCACTGCCAAGACTTAAGATCCACAGATGCAGAATGGAGGAAAGATGAGGAAGACACCACTAGGTCGTGGGCATGCTTCCAAAGCTTGTGGGTTCTTGACTTGCGCTACACTGATTGTGATTGGATTTTGTCCGCAAGGGTGATGGATCTCATGACCCAGCTCAGGGAGCTAAACGTAATGGGAGCTGAGAATTGGGACATGAGCCATTTACGGGGACGGTTATGTAACATTCGCAAGCTTCGGGTAAGAAAGTCCACTTGCTTCTTCAGCAATAATGTGTTCTCTGAGATGGACAGTATGGAACTTCTTGATTTTTCAGGAAATACCATCACACAAGGCATGACAAGCTTATCTGGGCCAGCCAGCAACAGTAGCCTGAAGTGCGTCACTATTGATGGATGTGATGGTTTAAAAATCATCTCTTTCAGGGGCTGCAAAGAATTGGCGAACGTGTTCTTGAAAGGATTATTGAGGGGTCTTGAGGAGCTGGAACTCTCAGGCACAAGAGTGAAAACCCTCAACCTGACTGGAGTGGAAGCCAGATCACTCCCCAAGCGGATCATCCTGCTAGGCTGCGAGAAGCTCCGTGCAATATTGTGGCCACCAAGTGTGACACAGTATCAGTTGCCCAATGTGCTGCACATTGACACCACACCTCCATCAGCAACAGCTTACGGAGGGGAGGCACCACTTGTGCATCCACATGTTGGTCTATCCCTCCAACAGCAGAAAGAAGAAATATTTAAGAGTGGATGGCGAATTCGTGTCACGGATGCAAGGCTCCTTAGGTCCCTCTCTGCTGGATTCTCAGCCCTACATATTGATATATGTACGGCAGCTGTTGTTGGTGGTAGCAACATCCAAGGAACAAGCAGTAACAAACTAGTGCAAGTCCAACCACATACAAGCATCTTAATGCACTCGAAGTACAGTGATACCTTTGGTAATGACACAGTTGCTGCAGTGATTATGGAGGACTGTCCCAAGATATGGCAGTCTTTCACCATACATACATGTTTCATGAAGGTGATGATGCACGGGCAGGGCAACAAACTCTTGGAGGATGCTGTTGGTGCTAGTACTAGTGCTTTGTTATTGCCCAAGTGTATATGTGACTTGGTTACATCGCTGCACGTGTATGATAACTTGTCCATCACTAGCATCCCTGGACCTCCCCAAGGATCAGGATGGCATAGACTAAGATGGTGCCGCGTGGAGAGATGCCCCAGGTTACACACAGTCTTCACTGTCCCCCATGGCACTAGCGAGGACCTTGGCGAGGACAGCTTTCGGGATCTGGAAACATTATCGGCGTCCAAGCTCCTCTATGCACTATACATCTGGGACAGGCAAGTTGAAAAAGGTTATTTGAATTCCCTGGTGTTATTGCACCTGGACCACTGCCCCAGGCTCGTACATGTGCTCCCCTTCGCCATACGGACAAAACACACCTTGTATTACCTTGAGACCCTTGAGATAGTGTACTGCGGTGACCTCAAGGAGGTATTCCCTCTCCCTTTGAGCCCTGAGCTTCAAGAGCAGAATAAAATTCTAGAATTCCCCAGTTTGAAGCGCATCCACCTGCATGAGCTCCCAAAGTTGCAGCGCATCTATGGGCGTAGTATATCTGCACCTTACCTTGAGACCGTCAAGATCAGGGGCTGCTGGAGCCTTAGGCGTCCTCCTGCCGTCGGACGCTACACCGAGCCGCCCAAGGTGGAGTGCGAGAAGGAATGGTGGGACAACCTAGAGTGGGACGGGTTGGAAGAGTACCACCATCCTTCGCTCTACGAGCCGACCCACTCGTTGTACTACAAGAAGGCCCAGCTGCCAAGAGGCACAGTACTCTGGTGAGCTTTACATCTACTTCCATTTGTACGTATGTTCCTCAGTATGTACAGTCTGCTAATAAGGTCTTTGTGCTGAACATTGTTGCTACTCTTTTTCTTTTCTACATAAAACAAATCAGCCTAGTACTGTAAGTAGTACGTGTGGTTAATCATTGATAGCATGGTTGGTTTATATGCTGCAGGTAATATGCATGATCGTCCAACACGCAGTGCTACCTCCTACATAACAGAAGCTTTCCTGTCGTGCGTGTGCTGCTTGCCCTACTTCCCGCTTGATTGGTGTGTGGTGTTCTCTCTGCATATGCATCGCCTTGGTGTCGCAGTGCGGCTTCCAGTTTGATTTGATTGGATTTGGCATGGTTTGATCAACCTTTGCTCCAGCTCCCGAGCAATTGAGGAATAAAGCAGAGCGGGCGCAGCTTCTGCAGCATGAGCCCCTGAGTGCTCATGTTGTTGTGTGCTCATTCTGTGTGTGTGGTGGTGCTTGTCATGGTACGAATTGTCAGATGTGGATTTGTTGTAATTTGTAAGCATAAACGATGATGGCGATGATTTGTGTGTGGTGTTGTTTGTTGTGATATGATTTGAATACTCAGTCATGTGTTGTTTGTTCCAATGCCAGTTTTCTATATGCTCATTGTTCCATCGTGTACTTGGAGTTGATGTGATGGCTGTTGTCACTTGCTAGTGTGGCTGGCAGTATTTCCTTTGCCCATATAGAGGTATGTATACATGAGGTCCATGTCTCTAGTAAACTCATCCATCATCCTTAACAGATGGTGGTGGCTCAGGATTTGCCTTTTTTTAGTTACATTACAGGGTTTCTCTGAATTTGTTTTTTCCCTTGGCATTTAGGTTTCCCTTTAAGTTAGCCATGTGAAATAATGATGGAGTACGTACCATTTGTGTAGTTTGGGAAACAGGGAAAGGTCTAGATCAAATCAAGAGGAAAAAAGGGCTAGGCTGTGGACGTCTGGAGTTTCCTGGTTGCGACCCGGCCTTTCTGATGCCTTTAGTTTCTGAATAATCCCACTTCTCACTTCTTCTTCAGTTAACCTTTGGGTATGACATCGCCGCCACCCTAGGCTGCGACTCCGTTTCTGGCTTCTTCAGTTAACCTGCAGTCTCCATTTCACCATCGTTGGCGCGGGCGGCCTCCAGGCCCCGGTCACAAAAGAAATCATATGGTTGATATGCTATATATATATTCAATTCCAGACGACTAGGGGAACTGAAGATTTTCAAATTTGAGAAAGACAACTTGACGCAACTCCGGTTGCCGTCGCCGCCGTTTGTCCAGCGCGCGTGGGATGGTGCAGTTGCTGTCGGCTTGCCGCCGAGTATGTGGAGTAGGTGTATGTGCGGCCGAGCAGAGTGAGTATGCGACAGAGAATGGGTGCTGAACCTAGACGTGTTGCAGAACTTTCATTCTGTCAGGCCCTTCAATGTGTTTTCTCATCTGCTGAACCTAGCCTACGGTGTACTCCCTCCGTTCGGAATTACTTGTCTCGGAAATGGATGTATCTAGAACTAAAATACGTCTAGATACATCCATTTCTTCGACAAGTAATTCCGAACGAAGGGAGTACTTGCTTGCTCACCAATTATTGATTAATCCAAACCATTTGATCTGCTTGCTGTATGGTCTATGTTTTACCTGTCCCTATCGTAAAAAGCCTCGTGTTCAATATCATCTCGCTACTGTAAACGGTTGTGGGAAAGGATTTTTTATTATCATTCTTTCTACAATTTTACTGTTAAATTGTGTGCAAGTTGCAGCTGATAATTTGTTTATTTCCCATTTCCTATTTGAAAAATAAACCAATATTTTTTAAATGTGTGGGCACTTTTATAAATACATGAACATGTATTAAAAATACGTGATCACATTTCGAAATTTACATGAACATTTTTTTAAATGCATGAAAACTTATTTGATTATTTAATTTGTAGAAAAATACATGATAAGTATATTTTATTAAAGTATGGATATTTTTAAGTACACAATGAACATTAGTAAATATACAATGAACAATTATTTAACAGGAGGTACAATATTTTTATAATACACCATGAACCATTTTACAAAAACAAGATTTTTTTTTGATACGTGGTGAACGTTTATTAATACACCACGGACCTTTTCAAAAAACACTATGAACCTTTAGAATACTAACATTTTATAGTACATCTAACCACTTAATCACCAGGAACAACTTTTAATATGCGATTATTTATTGGTTGTACACATTGAACATTTATTAAATATAGGAAGATTTAAAACAAATATGCAACAAACAAAATTTTAGTACACGATGAAACATACATGAAAGTTAATTAATACATGATAAAAAACTATTAATACATAACAAAAAATTTTAATACACAACTGACAGTTATTAAATATACAGCGCGGCGAACATTGTTTATCACATGATGAACCTTCTTGAGGAAACAAGATAAACACATTTTAATGCGCGATGAACCTTTTAATAAACAATGAATCATTGTTGAGAACGTGATTACTATTTTCTAAGTGATCATGCTTTTTAAAACTAATCACGTATTTAAAAAATCATGCACTTTAAACAAAAAATTCAGGAAGATTTTTAAAACACACACATACACAGGTTCAAAGTACTAAAACTAAAAGGAATGGGAAGGTAACCTGAAAAAGAAGAAGGATAAAAGTATGAGTGAATTGCATGAGTTCCTGAAAACATCACCATTGCCAGGTTAGACCTAAGTTTACACCTGGAGCTCGAGACCAAGTCTCGAGTGTTAGAGTTGTGTCGAATATTGTGTACAAGATAGGTAACAGTTGCACTCTGAGTTGTATTGTGTTTACGGGGTATGATGCCGTGCCCTAATAGGACACTTGTATCTTAAACCTCTCATATATAGTGAGAGTAGACACACGATGTAACATATGCCAACATAATAGCACTAGCGCGCATGGGAGCTGGCAGAGTGCCGGTTGCCGGTGTGCGGTATTGTGACGGTGTCACGGGGACCAGTGTCCGTAGTCAGGTTCTGGGGATGTAGCCATATCGATAAACCTCGTTAACAAATATCGGTGTCGTGTCTTTTATGATTTCTTGATCCTCAGATGATCGACTATGCGGATCAAATTTATTCTAATTAGGGATATCAGAGTTAGGTTGTGCAAAGGCTGCAAATCGTTGATTTAGAGGAAGGGTCGAGTCTGAGATGCAGTCGGGTTTCGGCGTGGTTCTCGATGTGATCGGAAAAGGATATCAGAGAAGAGTTACCTGACCATCTCAGCGAGTTGTAGCGATCAACAAAGGCAGCGGCACGCGTGCACACGCTGAATGTGCGGAGATCGATCGTGCTGTGCTGCTGGTTCGCCTTTGCTCGCCTCGCTGGCTTTTTTTCCGGTTGTGCTACGCTACTGGTTCAGGAAAAAGACCGGCCTGCGGTTTACAATTTCGAATATATTCATGAAATAACAAAATGTTTGTAGATTTATTAAAGAATAAATAAAAGGCTCATCGAGTTTGAAGAAAAAGTTCACAAATCTGAAAAGGTTCATCGAATTTGAAAAACAAAGTTCACCGAATTGAAAATTTACATCCATTTGGAAAAAAATCATCAGATTTGAAAAAATGTTCACCGAATTGATAAAAGTTCATCGGATTTAAAAAGAAGTTCATTGATTTTTTAAAAAAATCCATTCATTTCGAAAAAAAAAGGTAACCAAATTTGAAACAGAAATCATCTACTTAAAATGGTTCACGCATTAAAGAAAACAAATAGTATGAGAAAAAGGAAAAAAAACCGAACTGAAACACGAACTAAAAGAAAAAAATGATGCACCTGTACAGCGGCGTGGTGATGGTCTGGTGGTTGGAGTTGACCGCTGGTAATGCTTTTTTTTTTTGTGAGAAGGACCGCTGGTAATGAGGTTGTCGGGTTTCGACTCCTTGTGCTTGTTGTTTCTAAATAACAGAAATAATAATAGAATGGGCCGGCCCAGCTGTGACTGCTTCACGCGCCTGTTTGCGAATTGCACTATAGCAGCGCCTGAAGCACCGAATAGGATTTGGCCCAGGCGGGGCTAGCGATGCTGCTGGTGTGTGCAGTCGGACTGAGATCTGTTTTGGATAAAAAGGAGACCGAGTCTTCATATATGACGCAGATATAGCGAAGTAAATCAGTGAAGTGGAATAATAAATCGATCAAGCCATCGGGAGCACTACTTCTGTAGGGAATTGACAAGGCAATAGCTAGCGTATTGGTTTGAGGCAAAGAAGAGCAATCACCTGAAGGTCAAAAGGAATCCTTGATTGGGTTTTGCTATTAGTACATGAGGGCGTGTCACGTCAGGTTTTGCTTATGTACTTGGACATCACATGAGGAAGGCTCGGATAATTTTCCACACGGTGAACCATACGAGGAACTATGGCACCAACGGGTATCAAGTTTGAGGTGGAGAAGTTCACGAAACTGAAAAGCTTGGGTTATGGCAGACAAGGGTGAAGGATTTGTTGACACAGCAGGATGCTTGAAGGCATTACGGAAAGTCATGACAGCTAAGATTGAATTATTATGTGATGGCTGGAAATTCGTGGAAAACAATTTGAGAGCCTCAAGCGTGTCCTATAGCTGGACAAGTTCGGCTGGGTCGGACTTGACAGTGTGACATATCGACTTGGATATCGGTCGAAACAGAAGACGGTGGTGAGATCAGCGACAACGACATATGAGCGTGATGCTGGTGGTGGCTGACTTCTGGGCGTGGAAACACATGGCGCAGACCCAAAGGCTTGTGCATCTTCAACAAGACTATGGCGCGGGGTTGATTCAAGGTGGTGTACACACAGAGTTGAAGTCAACGGAGCGCGAGGCTGGACTGATCATGTACCATGGAGTCATGTTGAAGGTGGAGCCGGAGTCTGGAAGACTACACTCGGTGCTGACTGAGGGTCTACGGTGTAAGGATTCTCAGAATCAAAGCCTATTCATCGGGAGAAATTGAGTGACACGTAGTTCGAATTGGAGCCCAGTGGTCTAATGGAAACATGAAACTCGTCATCGGTCGGTGATAATCGGTGGTATTCTGAAGTGCGGGTTGAGTGGTGTGGGTTTGCGACCCTTGAGAGTTGACGGGGACAGTAGAGGCTCGGTGCAGTAAGAGCAGAGAGGTGTGCGGTAAGCACGGGGAC